GGGGGGGGGGGGGGGGGGGGGGGGGGGGGGGGGGGTTTACGTTCGGAAAGTAATATTTCCGTGTGGCGTGAAGAAAGGAATGAAATAGAATCTACAATAGTCGATTATACCGAAATAGGCAATACAAGGTGTCAAGTACGTGTCGCTTGTGGAACTCACGCTGATCGGGACCGAAAATTGCCCAAAGAGAGACCTCTTATCTATAATCTGTATATTATATATATGTATCTGTAAATCATAGATAGTGCCCATTTCTCTTTATGGAATGCAATATTCGCAAATAATGCCAGTCGGCGAGTTACTCATTGTTCACACTCCACTGGGCCACTTTCACTCATATGCATCGACGTCGCAAATCTCAAGATTTCGATTTTGAGAATATTTGTTTCTGACAGGCTTGATTGCAGCGACGAATGCTAGCGAATCTCAGGCAGGACCAAGGGAAAATATTGAGGTGAGCTAGAGCTAAATGTAGGGTTCGTTCGTATGCCGAGATAAAAGAATATCAAGGCCGGAAACCTGCCTGTTGAACGAGAATCCTGTCGACAAAATCTCCCTGACTAATGAAAGGGATTTCCCAACGATTCATTTGTTGTCCCAGCCATTGACTCATGTTTTTCGTGCAGCAATGAACACGCATCGATGCATTTTCTTGGGTTTGCGTGGGTACAGATATACATTTATTGCAAATGACTCCATTTAAGGAGGCCATTCACGGTTATCAGTGGTTGCACTTCACCTTTTCCTCGAGAGTGAGCGAATCTTCAGGAAATTCCTCTGCCCTGCCGATGTTCGAAATTTTCCAAAGCAGGTCCAGTTTCATCTTTTCCACCGACTCTGGCTAGATTCATTCCAAAGAGAGAACAAATGAAAAAATTAGGTTGAGATATTCTTTGGAAACAGTACCATTTTTTTAAACAGTGTAAATGCACGGATTTAGTTATTATTCGTTAGACAATTGCGGGTGATTCTAGTTGTGTTTTATTAGAAATTTTACGAATTTTAAGTATTTGAAATGGATTTCCGAAAAATGTAAAAATGTGAAAATGAATTATTTGTTACGGACTCACGATGATACGTCCTCCAAGATTCTCGGGTAGGAACTGCAATCCATCGATCCGAAACCTAGGAAAGTATTTTCTAATGCATATTTTATGGTATTGGGATGACGAGAATCCTCAGATTTTCCCCCCCTCATATTTAATTTGACATTTAGTTGTAGTCCTAGGTGCACGAGCGACACTTCACCTTCTGAGTAGGTTGGCCGCCATGGTGTGGACGTCCCAATACTTTCCCGTTGGGTGTTGCTCCACCTTCTTGATGAGGCCGATGAGGCTGTCCATGGTCGTCGGGATCCGGCGGAATCGGTCCCGGATGGTCCGGTTGTGGTAGCATTGGTCCAACATGTCCTCCTTCCAACTAATCGACCGGGCCTGTACGTAACTCATGGACAACAGTCCTAAAGGACACAAATAGGCTATGTTTGCGGTGAGCCAGACTAACCAGAAGAAAAAACACAAATTAAGTCTGTGTGAGAGAGAGCACGAAAAGCGGAATGCATAAGTCAGATCTTTGCTGGAGAGAAACCATTTTGAAATAATTAACATATTAACAGCGCGAGAAGACGTAACTCACCAAAGATGACAGCACTGGACGGAATCACAAAATGCCGGAGCCGCATCGTATATCCCGGCACTCGAAGCAGATCCAAGAAGGGAGATTGCAGAGAGTAGAGAACGGAGAGATGTAACGGGCTTTTATATAAGTGGCGTTACGAAAGTAACCGTAAAGCAGAATCTCATTCACTAAGATAAGCCATTCAGAAAAACGCAAATGGAACTCTGATAGGAAGGTATGCGTCATTTCCCTTGCATCTCCA